GGCACGGCGACCCCGTGAGGCGCACGCGGACAGCTGAGCGGGGCCGCTGAGAGGCGGAGTCGGACCAATCGGCGCACGGAAGCCTGCACACCACCCACCAGTCCCCGGCAGCCAATCAGAATGTAAACAGGAGGTCAGGTTCCTGGTCCCGCCTCCCCCGCCACAGGCCAATCAGAGCAAAGAAGGGCGGAGTGGTCGTGACCGCGCCCAAGCAGCCACTCCACCCAATCGCCTCACGCCTCATGTGGCCAATGGAAACACGAGCCTCCGATCCCGTACTTGCTGCGCTCCCGGCCCTGAATCCATGTCCGTGAATCGTGTGTCCGCCGCGGGCACTGCCCGACTTACGCCTCGCGCGAGGGGGGCCTTTGTTCTTCTTCTCTCGCTGTCTTTATCTGCCCCCTGCCTGAGCAACCGGTGCGCGGCCGGAGCCGGATCTTTTTTCTCTCTCTGCCCTCATGTCTTGGCTGCAAAGCCCAGGGTCAAGAGCAACATAGGGCAGGTTTTTCTTTTTTTCTGGCTTGAAATCCCGGCTGCTCCGGGAGAATACATGAATATCTATATCACCATCCCCATCTATAGAGACAGAGCGAGAGAGAGTAACAGGATCACACACGAACATATCCTTATTGGATATATGTCTTTACAGTTTCAGGTTTTTGAAGTAAGTACGGAATAAATAACACCATCAGGTGAATCGAATCCCCTGTTCTCAATATTACATTATTTTACACCAAAGATCCCAAACTCTCCCGTAGAACTGAACTGACGTCTCGTGGTGCGTCCTGAACAAGGGGCTTTTCACATCCATTTCTTTTTAAAAAAAGAGAAGAGTGGTGCTTTGCCAAGTGGTCTCTAGGGAGGTTTCAGCGTCAGCCTAGAAGCAAACAGTCCTTCTTGGCGGCCCACACGCACCCCCTTAGACCACCACCCAGCACGTCGAGGAGACAGGGAGGCTACGCAGACGGGAGTAGGAGAGAAAAGGGAACTGGGACAGACACAGCTTCAAGCTTCAACACCCACCTCAGGAGAGAGCCGGACAGGCCCCGCAAGGTGGGGAACGCAATCTCCCTCACGCCCCGCCGCGGTCGTCAGAGCAGCCTGCCGCAGCGCTGCGGGACCGCCCGGGGGTCCAGGGTCAGCTGTGGGACGTGGGCTCTGAGCACGGCTGACCCGCGAGCGCAAAGACGAACAGTTAAAGAGGGCTGCTAAGCATCCACGTCGGACCAATCAGCACTCAGAAGACTGCAGCCCCACCCACCATTTCCCAGCAGCCAATCAGAATGCGAATGAGGAGGGCGTGTTCCTGAACCCGTCTCCGCCGGCAGAGGCCAATCAGAGCAAAGAAAGGCGGAGCGGCCCTTATCCCGCCCAAGTGACAACTCCACCCAATCACCTCAGGCCTTAATATAGCCAATAGAAACGCGAGACTCCGATCCCGTGCCTGCCGCGCTCCCCGGGCTGGGATCACTGTCCCGGGAATCGTGTGTCCGCCCCGAGCAGCGCGAGCCCCGCCTGGCCCCGGCCGGGGGCACTGCTCCGGTAACGCCCCGAGCGAGCGAGGCCTTTTTTCTTCTCTCCCTGCCTTCATCTCCCGCCTGCCTGAGCTACAGGTGCGCGGCCGGAGCCGCTTTTCGTGCTCTCGCTGCCCTCCTCTCGGCTGCAAAACCCACATGGAAGCACAGGGAAGTAGTGCAGGGGAAGATTTTCTTTTCTTTGGCTTGAAAACCCAGCTGCAGCGCGCAGGTTGGAGCACAGGGAGGGCGGCACGGAGCCGGCTTTGTTCCGGGCCCTCATCTTCGGGCTCCAAGCGCCGCTCCGGGCCCAGGAGGGCAGCGCGGAGCCGCCTTTATTTCCTCTGCCTTGAAGCCGGGCTGCAGGGCCCCGGGTGAGCCACAGCACGGCGGCACGGAGCTGGTTTGTTCCCAGCGGTACCTCCGCGCTGCGATGCCCGGCGTGGCCACCGGAGGGCAGCACTCAGCAGGGACTTCCCCTCGGGCTGCTGCGCCCAGCTCGGAGCACGGGAGGCCGCGCCGAGAAGTGTATTTCTGACACTCGCCATGGATGCACAATGCCCCTGTTATATATGTATGAGCTGCACTCATTAATGTAGGGCGGGACGCAAACATCGGCATACGTGCATACCTATCTCGATTTCCCCTTCTGTAGGCAGTAGTGGGGTCACTGCTAATTACGGCACCTATCCTGCACGCACGCACGCACGCCTTTATTACATACATCGCTGTACAAATTCAATTTCCCGAAGTAGACAAGGTTCCTTGGGTGAATCTGATATCTTTTATTACCAAATTTGGGTTGGTCTAATAAAAGATATCAGATTCACCCAAGGAACCTTGTCTGCCTATATCCTTAGACGAACACGGCTACAACCCGTTTCCCAAAGCAAGCACACAACGATTAACACTGTCACTTCAATCCCCTTGGCTCAATATTTTACTTAATATACAGCCACGTTCCCCAACTCTCCACTAGCCTTGAAGTGATTCCTTGCACTTCTTACTGAACAACGGGTTTTTCTTTTTCTTTTCTCCTTCAAAAAGGGGAAACTCCGTGGAAATGCTGGCAACGACACGCCTCAGAACGGCGCCCGCCAGGCAGCACCGGTCCGGAAGCGCAGCGTGCGGCTTCAGGCAAAAGGGGGATGCCGCCCCCCCAGTTCCCCATGGCACAAAAAAGTAAATAAAAACCACTAAAGAATCTAGTACTGAGAGTGTAAGTGGTCTTTGTTATAAAAGAAGAAAATGATGGAACCAAGTAAAGCTAGCTGGTGAAAATATTGTTTGAAAGCTCACCCCCCGTTACTGGACTGTTCCATTCTATCACAGCTCTATGCATTATTTTAGTAGTCATGTTTGTGTATGTAGGCATTGTCACAACCAAATTAATCAGTGCCCATGTCACTAACAAGTGATGCACACAGCAGTCAATTAAGGGTTAAAGAAATCTCTGTCCAGAAGTTCCTGAAAAAAAAAAAAAAATCCAAGCAAGAAACTTAAATTTATGCCCACATCACAACCAAGAAATGAAACTTAGGCATGATTTATGATTGGTCAGAGTAAAAGGGGATAGCCCTGTCATAAATCCCTGCAATTGGTCAAGAAGCAAGCTCAGACCCCTCTCACGTAACAGACAGAAAACCTGACCCACTACCTTGTAACCTGATAGCAACCTGAGAGCACAAAGAACTGCTGCTTGCCAGATAATTAAAGATTCCACATAGCAGTCCATCATTGGACACCTCCGTTAGTTACCTCTGTCTATAAATAGTTTAACAAAGAGCCGACTCGAGTTGCGTTCGAAATTGGTCGTACGTTAGGGCGGGCTGGTGAATGGAGAGGCAGACACAACTTATTGGTTGTAAAAAACTTTACTCAAGCCGCTTGCAATCGCGACGCAGGTGGTCCGGTCGTCGGAACAACCACGCGAGTTGTTCCAGCTGGTGGGGCCCAAGCCAGTTAATCCGTCCGCAATTCGAAGCCGGCGGGGAAAGGGGTACGTCTGGGATTGCGCTCGGTGACGGGAAGAAAGATCGATAGGTGCTCAGTCTATCGATCGGCAGCCGCAAGTCAGATAACTTCAGAGGCACTCTGCAGTGTGCTCAAAGCTCTTCGGAAGTCACGCAGAATTTTAAACGGCCAGCGAGCCAATTACTAGCCGCCACGTGTGAATAATTTAGCACTGGCCACTAGCGGGACACAAATTTGCATTCGAATGGCAGGAACTCTTTGCACTGTGCATTTCTGTGCTGCAAAGAAGAAATGCACCCTGCAAAGAAAGCTGCAAATTGGCGGGAACTCTCTTGA